TCTTTAAAAATTTTAACGTAGTGAAATTCGTATCTTTGTTGTTTTTTAAGTTATTTTAAATTGAAGCTAAAATCTTCAATTTACAAGGTAAAAATGGGTTTTTCCCATTTTTACCTTAATAACCAAACAATTTGCAATTTATTTCTTAAACCATTTTGTAGAGCCTAAAAAATAACAATTTAGTATAGCAAAGGGCTGTTGTATGCCTAATGGTTATGGAGATAATAGAAAAAACTTAAATTCAAAATTCCCATGTTATTCTTACGGAGAATAAAAAAAAAACGGTTGAAGTTTGCTTATATATGGATATATTATAATCAAATTTGGCAATTTTGTTTATTTCATACTAAGCTATCAACATTTCAATAAAAACTCACCTCAATACCTTCCCTGTAGCAGCAAACCTAGGTACTCATTAAAATTAATTTTATTTAAATAGGAAATAAAACTGACAGTTTTCAGGGAATATTTGAGTATAATATAATATTGAGTCTACAGGTTTACTGCGGCAGGGGTACTTTTTAAAGCAACCGACATTACAAGTACCAAGAGACACTTTTTAAGAATAAACATAGCTTTTATGTTTGTAGGTGTATGAATAAAAAAATTGATGAAAAATCAGGAAGAAATTAGAGGAAAAAACTGTTTTTTACATAGGTTATTGTTACTTTACAATTAAATTTAAATATAAATGCTGGGACATTTCATTATAGTATTGAGTAGGAGAACCGTAAAGGCAGAGTGCTACTGTGGAATTGAACTAACACAAGTATAAATAGGATACGACATTTGACTGTAAAAAACTTAACACAGAATTAAAACTTGGAATCAACTGCACAAACAATTATTTACTTAATTTTTACCACAAAACAACGCACGTAATCCATTGCGTCTGAACGTAATCCGTGTACGCTTGGAAATAGGTTCGCAACACTTAAAGATAATAATACTATGAGCAGCTGATTGACTATTATAACTACGATTTAACCTGTCCTTTCGTGTTTATAGTTACTTTCTGGACTTTTTAAAGGTTTTAAAAAAATCCTACGATCTTAACAAACAAGAAAATACCATTTAAGCATTTTTTTAGGAGCGGAAACCGCTTCAAATTGCAAAATACGGAACTATATTCTCAAGTCCAGAGCACATTTCTTGCCGAGGAAAAATAGCGTAGTGATACGGACCGGGTACTACTTTCTCTAGGGCACCTATTTGTGTTACCAGCTGAACCTAAAAACGTGTTGTATGGTGTTTGAAAGACTAATTATTTATATGCTTTATAGTGACTGTAGGAAAAATATAATGTGTAACACGAGTGCAAAAGGCCTTTGCTGCACTCGAGATCATTCCGCACGAGCCGCTTGCTCTTGTGTGCACACAAATAACTACAGTAAAACGCCGATTATCCGAATTAATTGGGACCGGGGTCGATTCGGATAATCAAAAATTCGGATAATCAGACACAGAATGGTAATAAAGAAAAACAAAGTGTTACACAACAAATGAACTTTATTGAGTGGATAACTAAGACATAATAGAGATGTTAAATTGAATTTAAGTACAAGTAGAGAAACAAATGCTGATATTTATAAAAACAAAACTACAGTACAATATAAAGTTCTTTACAAAAAGTTCTTTTACAACGCTTACTTGTACATCTCGATCAGCGTAAGTTGCCGTGACCTTGTAGCTCGTTTCCGCGCAGCTAAATCACGCAGGCGCCGGACGGCAAGAAGCTGTACACCGTCGCACTCTGGTTGTCGCTCCATCCATTTGAGGGCGTTGTCAAAGCACGTGAACGCCTCACTATGTGATGGTACACTTTCGTCTCCTGCATCTTCGTCTCCCCCGGTCTCATTGCTTTCATCTCCATTGTCCTGTTCATCCATGACACTCACAGCGATTTCATCATCAGTCATTATCTGGTATCCTTGATCGTTCCTATCACATTCCAACCACTCTTCCATATCATTGACATCACACTCCGAACAACCCGCAATCTCCTTAGCCATGTTTACTAACTCCCCAACTGACGGCAATTCCGGTTCGTCTTCATCAACGCCAGCAGCTTCAGCAGTTAGTTCTCGTTCTTTAGCTTGCTTTTCTAACTCGAGTTGCTCTTTTGTCGACGTACCGTTTATTTTGTTCCAAGTCCGTTTAAGTGAAACACTTTTAACCATGTTCCAGGAGTCTGCAATCATGTAGCAACAGTCTTTTAAGTTGATTTTTTTGTACGAATCCAAAACTTGTTCCTCGTCGTTCTCTTCAGCTAGGAGCAATTTACGAAGCATCTGTTGTCTGTAAAGACGATTTGTGCACTCAATCACACCCTGATCCATGGGCTGGAGCAGACTTGTCACGTTAGGAGGTAAAAAGAGACACTTAAATCTCCCCTTTTCTCTCACGAGAAGATCTAGTGAAGGATGCGTCAGCGCATTGTCCATGATAAGTAGAACCTTTCCCTTTTTTCCTGTTTCTTGTTTAAATTTTTTCACTTGAGGAATAAAAGTTTTGTCGTACCACTCCAAAAAAATAGTGCTCTCCATCCAAGCATTCTTCTGGTTGGTGTAAGTCACTGGTAAGTTGGCTACGTTCTTAAAAGCCCGTGGCTTCTTTGCTTTGCCGATCAATAATAAAGGAAGGCAATGGGTACCAGTAGAGTTCGCGCAGACCATTATAGTGACGCGATCTTTACTGACTTTGTGTCCGGGAGCACTTTGTTCTCTTTTAGATGCTAGGGTTTTTCTTGGCAAAGCTTTCCAATTCAAACCAGTCTCGTCAGCATTATACACAAGATCAGGGTCGTACATTTCTGTTTCTTTTTTAAATGTCTCCACAAATTTATTAGCAGCTTCACTATCAGCAGAAAGTTTTTCACCGGCAATATCCAATTCTCGAATGCCGTGCCGATTCTTGAAATTGCGTATCCATCCCGTGCTTGCCTTAAAATCAGCTACACCCATTTTTTCACTGAACATTCGCGCCTTTTCACACAAAATAGGTCCTGAAATCGGTTGTCCAATAGATCTTTGTTGCAAAAACCAAGTAAAAACTGCATTTTCCAGCTGTTCATCTTTAGCCTTTTTCATCACTTTTCGTGACGAACATCTATTATCACTTTCCAACGTAGTCACAAAACTTAAAATCTTTTCACTGTTATTTTTTATGTCAGTAATCGTAGCCGCCCCGACACCAAATCTCTCCGCCAATACCTTTCCCGCCACTCCTTTTTTTAGTTGGTTGATTATTTCCACTTTGTTCTTCAGCGATAGGACAACACGTTTTCGTTTTGCACTCATTTTACTTGGTTATTTAACACACGTAACCATACAGTAATGAAGATCACAAGTTTGACAATCTCACAACTCTATAAAAAATCAGCGATCCGCACAATAGAAGAGGGAGGAGCTAACTGACCTAGAATCCGCCAAAAATCGATAGTTCGCGTGTCATTGGGTAGGGGGAGTGGCTGCAGGTGCATGCGCTGTACATTCTGCGCATCTAAACGCTGTCTCGATGTCAATTCACTACACCGCCGCGCGGGGTGGCGACGTCATTGTGTCTACGCGGCAGTCGGTCAAATTTTTGCACTTAGTTTTAATTTTTAATATTAAGCTTGGAGCCGATTCGGATAATTGGCGATTCGGTTAATCGGCGTTCGGATAGTCGGCGTTTTACTGTATTGTCAATCAGCTGATATACATTGTTGCATTATTTCCAACACGGTTTAGTGTTATGGAAATTTATTGTGAATAATGTCATAGAACACAAGTAGACTTCTCATCTCATTGTTAATTCTAAAGCTTTGTTCATATCTAGTTCATGTTGTCGACACTACTGGGCACTAGTGTCAACAAAATTGTATTTCTATTGTTTTACGGTTGATTTTATGATGACTGCTTTTCTTTTTTGTTACATGAAATAGGGACGAGCTATTGTTTATGGTATATTGATTTATTTGGCTTCATAAGTTTGAAAAAAATAACTGAAATAACAAGAAACAAATTTTATTTAATAAAAACACACCTCTAGCACCGGATGATCTAAAAGGATGACAAACTTACCTTTAAGAAGTATTTTTAATCTACGATAATATTCAACGTAGTGTTTCGCAACTTAATAAATGATGCAAATCCAGTCTCCTAAAACTTTAAACCGATATTTACTTTTTAAAAGTAAATCATTGGGTTTTGCCATGAAAAGTTTGAAATCAAGGCCCCATGCGTCATTTCAGTACCGGTATTTAATAAAATAACTATGTATTCTTCTACAATACATACTCTTAGAGCTTTTTAAAACAACATTTTGAGTTTTATCATAGAAAATAGAACCTTTAGGTTCTATTTTCTTTGGTTTTATTCACAATAAAAATTCAAAGACTAAACCTTTATAGTTAATTAATTAATCAAACAATGCATATCAGCTGATCGGCAATGAAGTAGAGAAAACAGGGATACCAAATTATGAGCTATGCTTGCCTTAACAGTGACTCTTGGAGCTTGTAATTTAGGTTGCTTAAAATAAACAGCTTGTAAACTGAAGATTTTAGCTTCAATTTAAAATAACGAAAAAATCAACAAAGATACAAATTTCACTACATTAACATTTTTAAAGATCATATTTTTATGAGTAAATTGACGTTTATTGCAATTTTCTACCTAGAATAGTTCTCGAGTTATAGGCGTTTTAATAAACGGCGCCCCCCACCATATTGCCCCCCCCCCCCCCCCCCGGGATGTCGACCACGCTGGGGGGCGACAACATGCGTTTTCGTGATCACTATAGTGCCTATAACAACAATCAGAAATAAAATTGCGTCACCCTTTTCATGCATGCTCAACCCCCTTCAGATCCTGGACTAATATGGTATTCGGGAATGTGAGCTATCACACAAATTGTCAGCACATGAACGGTATTTTTCAAGTTTACTTGTCACAAACATCCATCCATCCATCCATACATCCAAACTTTCTCACTCATAATATTAGTAGGATTATTACCAGCACAAGAATCCACAGTGCAGCATGACAATAGAGGATGAAGTACAGTGGTTCACACTTGAGTGTCGTATGAGGCCAGTATAGCGCACTCACAATACCTGAGATCTCCACAAGTACCTAGCAAAACACAATCAATATTACAAATATTAACTTACGTCTTATGGGAGCAAAAAAGTTACATTATATGCAGATAATACAACTTTTTTTATTCCAGTAATAACATACTTTACACATTTTAGCTACATTTTGTAAATTGCCTTCCGGATTACTTCACAAATTACATACTCCAGGAATAAGTTACCTTTATTCTGGCCATGTAATCCTAAAGTCGCCTGTAGGTGACCGGTTTCAAAGTCTATGATGTCATTGTCAAGCTAGATGTAAAATCTCTTACTCCTAGGAAGTCTTAAAAAAACGTAACACATAAACACAAACACAAACAAACAAAAAACTGTTAAATGCATGGCCATACAACTTATTACAACACGGTGTCGGGTTCAGGGAGTAGGTCTAGATTGATGCTGTGTCTTCCTCTCCCCACCTTCCCTTTAGAGTTATCAGCTGTTGATAAGATATTGTCGATATTTTAGATTTCTTCATACAAAAATAGTCTCTCAAGAATTTTAATCCCAGACTCTTTGTCCATTACTAGGTTTCCATTTCTGTCTTTACTACCATAGTTCAGTGCCGAGAATCCAGATTAGAAGAAGCGCATTGTTCTGTAAAAATCTCTAGCATTCTGCTTTTGTCAACTTTTTATCGAGGAATTCTATTTTGCATCTTCTGAGCAATAATTTAGTCTTTCTATTGATTTCTCAGTATTCCACTCCTAGCTGTTATGACCTTCTCTGTTCTTTTTCATTTGTCTTCTCGTTCCTTTGTAGATATTAAAATTATTATATCCACTACCTACATACACTATTACATTAATGTACCTACTGTACTTTGTGACAAGCCTATGTATGCTGTTATATGACAACTAGAGAACCCGTGCAGCTCAATGAGCCGCTTAGTATGAAACAAAACGCCGAGGAAAACGTTATGCTTAAATTCGAGAAATTATAGTTACATCTTAGACTTGTTTAAACACTTGTTAGAAACTAATCTTAAATATCTCTATTTGCGTCGTCAAGGTTCACCAACATTTTTTCTGCTCTCAGCTTTAACTGATGAATTCTAATGAATGCTAAATGATCTGCTTCAATTCGAGTTAAAATGTTGCAACAAAGTTTTTCCTTTATTGAGGATTGAAGAAAATTGTTGCCTTACTGATTAACTTAAACCTGTGTTAAGTAATATAAGTTGGGTCATTTTATTTCTTTGATTTGAGACATCCACCCAATCAAACGAATTTTCTCCGTAGAGAATCCTGAATACTGGGGTGATATCAACCATTTCATGTGCTCCATTTTTTACCCACAAACTCTAGGTTACCAACTGGACAGCAATAATCTGCTTTGAATAGGCTAAAGCAGCAACACTATTGGAAGTTGGTTAACGTATTTTAACGTGTTGTCTGTCAGTCACTGTATATGCCCCGCATCAGAGCGTTCTCACGTTGTTCAGTGGAGTTTCTCTTAATACCAGTCCCAAAGTTTTGAAAGTATGGATTAATTTGTCGAAATAGGTTGGATAACTCTTGTAGCTATAAGATTTGGATAGCAAATTTCATTTACACTTTTTGAACAGCGTATATTATTTGCCTCTCCTGAATCATAAATAAACTTGACCGTAACTACTCGATCTTTGAATACATAAACACTAATTCCTTCACTTATGTTTGGTTTAATATTGCCACTAAAACTTTCAATAGCAAATGAGTTTTTAAAACTTCTTATTTTTTACTTGAAATGTCTGAATTGTTTTGGTGAATTCAGGCAAAAAACTTTGTATAAGTTTGTCCAAGGAACTGGCAACATAACCTAGAAATAAACTATCTATATGCGTTTTTCTCAATTGAAGTAGAGCGAGAAATACAAAAGTTTACAATAAAAACATAAGGTCTGCCAAGATTTGGTATAATCTTATACTTGAACTTATCATAGTCAAGGCATTATTATACTTTGTACTGATTTTTTTTAAATATTTCGATCCGTCAGTGTCAGAGGTAAACATTTCTTGCATGCATTCATTTAATCTGCAATTAGGCAAGTTTACTCTACCACCGTAACAACACTATGTGCGTTGTATTTTTTTTACTTCCAAAGTAAGTTGCATAGCAGAACTGGCAAATATTAATCATCTCACCAAGTGAATGTGTATCTGATAGACCAGACCTCTCTTTTTCTACTGTCCTCATACACATAAGATATACTATTATTATTTGTCTCCTCCTCCCGTTTTCAATATTTCTTCTTTGAAAATAAAAATTGGTGTAAATACCTGCTTCTTGTAATCCAAATTGTTGCTGTTATGACGCAACTAGTTTCGACTTATCACGAAGTCATCTTCGGGCGTCCAGGGGATGTCAATTCACTTCATCAGAAGGTTGTCAATACACACATACGTTCATACACGAACATGGTCACGGTTACGAACAAAAACACAGACACGAACATTGAAACGAAAAAAGTACGATTTAACGAGTAAAAGCTAAAAATGGTAACACCGGTGAGGATTATGCGTCACGGCCGGATGGATGTAGCGTCTAGACTGCCGGTCAACGTGGACGGTTGGCGCTGTGACGTCATTCCTTTGTTCTTGTTATCAGTCAGCTGTCCCCATTCATCCCCGACTCTCTCTCAAGTACCTTAATGGCCGTGTCGTAAATATAATTAGATTGGAAGGATAGTTTGTCATTTAAAATATTATGTTTGTCAAATTTCACAGCTCAGTATATTTCAAACTCTTCAAGTGTATTTTTGTTAAAATGGTCGTTAGATATATGCAGTACGGACATGTTGCTGTCAATATTAGTGTAGTTGTGATTATCAGAAACCAGGTGTTCGGCAAAGGTTGATGTTTGAGCGGATGTTGTCTTCTTTGGGAGATGTTCTTTAAATCTTTTCTTGAAAGAGCGAGCTGTCTGGCCAATATAATACTTAGGGCAGTCGTCGCAACTGATCTTATAGACGCCAGTCTTGTCAAAAACAGTTGTCAAACAGTCTTGTCAAAAACAGAGTTGTCGTCTGAGGCTGCTCTTTCAACAAAGATCCAAGTTTGTTAGCTGTTTTGAAGGAATTCTTCATTGAACTTAATTGAGGCATTTTCTGTTTTTTCAACAAAACTGATTAACTGTTTAACTTGTTCTTAACCTACTGAATATTACAAAGTATTTACTCCCTAAAAGCTAATAAGTTTCCTTTTATAAACAGCTGTTTTTTTGTTTTAAAATTTGTTCTATGTATTTCTTATGGGGAAAATGCGACCTTTGAGAGGATCTCACGCCCTCTATAGTAGGAATTTTAAAATTTTAAAACCTTATTGCAAAATTACATATTGAGACGAATCTTTTGACACCTTAAACGTTGAAATTGGTCCACAAATAAGGGAGGAGTTGCGTTAACAAAAAACGTATTATATATATAAGATGTCAATGATTTATATAATCCACAAGACAAATAAATGATTTGATTTGATTCAGACTGCAGTCATTGGTCTATTTATTTATGTTTCAACTCAAATAGGGTGATGGCCAGGGCCACTTCAATAAATATGGCCAGTGCCCAGGGGAGCAAGAAGTTTTACGTTTGTTGAGGGCGCATGGATGAGAAAAATTCCCCACGATGCAAGTTGAGAGAATTATTCTTGTAATTATCAAATACAAACCGTGGGGTTTGAAGTAGCTTATTTGATGTGTTCTACTATACGTACTCAACACCAATTAAAATGCTTTATCAGAATAAAGATATAATAAATTCTCCCACCACAGCAAAAACATCCAATCCAAACTGGGCTCTCGACATGACATGGTAAAGCTTGACTCTGGACGCTTAATCAAAAGGCATATCAATCAACTCATAAAAACGAGAGTACCGCCTAAAACGACAAATTAACGAGGTAGAAGATAAAGACGCTCTTCTAATTAACAGTCAGAAGATATTCAAAGACGTACTGTTAGGTTTAATATTCCAGGGATACCATCATTACAACGATCTTACAATCAGGAATTTCCATTTACCTAGCTGAAATTCCACTAAATTAATCCCCTTAAAATTGTCAGATTTATTTCCTAGTTAAATATCATTAATTTTAATGAGTATGTGTTGTCATATGTGTTTAAAAACATATGGTGTTAGAATATTATTTGTTTAGTTTTTGTACATTCTGGATCTTGATTTATTGTAAAAGCTACCTAATAAAGTATTTGTTTTATTAAAACTATATTTTAATTTAACTTACGATAACACTACATGGTGGCAGTGGGTTTTTTTATTGTTTTAGCAATACGGTACATAAAGATGAAAGGTTTTAGTGTTCCTTCCCCAGAACATTTTGATTTTAAAGGAGAAAACTGGTCTAAATGGAAAACCTGTTTCTTGCGCTTTCATGCGGTATCTGGGCTCACCAATGAAGACGAACCATTTCAGGTAAACACCTTACTATATATGATGGGCGAAAAGGCCGAAAGCATATTTGAATAATTTAATTTGACATCTGAGGAAAGTAAAAGTTTCAAGACTGTTTTAACAAAATTTTATACATATTTCGCTCCTTCTAAAAATGTAATCTATGAGAGGTACATGTTTCATACTAGGGTTCAACATGAGGAAGAGTGTGTTGAAAGTTTGATTCATGATCTTCATGAGATGGCTTCTAGATGCGATTTTCCTGCTTCTTATAAAGATGAGGCTATACGAGATCAACTTGTTGTAGCGATTAGAGACTAAAGTTTATCTGAAAAACTACAAATGAATGCAGATCTAACACTTAATTCTGCTGTCTCAAATGTTAAGCAAGCCGAATCGGTTAAAATGCAACAATAATTGATGAGGTCCAGGTCTTCTGAACATGCACTAACTGCAGATAAAGTCACTTCAAGGACTTGGGGCACTAAATTTGCTCAGAAACCTCCAGTTGATTCCAATTCGTCCAGTAACAATTACTACAATCAATGCCAGTGGTGTGGTAATGCTCAACATGAACGACCAAAATGTCCTGCCCGGAATATTTTCTGT